CACGCTTTATGTAAGTTAGTAGGGTCTTTGATGTGAGGATGTTAGAAAGAGGGAAGGGCTTGAAATGACAACTATGGCATCATTTTAAGACTAATCCTCTATTGTATTGAGAGATTGCTATATGAATATACGATATATCTCATGAAAGAGGAGGTGGTGAGAGAATTCTACTTAATATGTTCAGGAGCATAGAGTAGAGGGTGGAAAATGCATTAGCAAGAGAGTCTGATAACTTAAATGCTGAAGGACTAGGATGAATAAATGGTTAACCAGAGGATGCATATAGAAGTTGTGTAAAAATATTTGCCAGAAATATATTTAACAACTCAAGTAGCACTCAACATGGATAATGTTGGTTCATGTATGTGAGTCAAAATAATTTGAAGGATGCTAACATGATGATTTTGATTACATTATTGGGATGTTCACTTTTATCAAATCATTTTAGAAGAATAAATTTAGAGACTAATTTTAGTTTTTATGGATGATAATACTTCAGCAAATGAAATTGTTTGTGACTGGCAACTTTTGAATCTTTATGCACGCTTTATGTAAGTTAGTAGGGTCTTTGATGTGGGGATGTTAGAAAGAGGGAAGGGCTTGAAATGACAAGGGCTTACACTTTTACTATGGCATCATTTTAAGACTAATCCTCTATTGTTAATTTGTTTTAATCTTCATTTTTGGAAGATCAAACATGCTACAATTTTATTTGGTCTGGGCAATGTTTGTAGGGTAGCTTGATGATGCATTTGCAGCTCCTTTTTTCATTACAATAATTAACACAAAGGGTAAATTAATCATTTTTTTAAGAGTAACGTATGATTTAATTGTGTATCAAGAACCTCATCATTTGCCCAGCAGCAGCTTGACATTAGCTAACTTATCCTTGATTTATGAACAACTTTTTATTTCTACGATAATGCTACAAAGAGTGACTAGTTTCGATAATAATTTGAGAGATTACTTTGCAAGGAAGCCTAGGATATCCACATCCCCCAAAACTTCATTTTCAAGAAACCCATTGCTTGCTTTTGGTAGATTTTGTGGTAATTTGTAATCAGAAGTAATTTCTATCTCTTGCACATGCTTGTTCCATATGATTTTATTGTAATTTTGGAGTATCGCATATTGATGTACCTTTTTAGCAAATGCTACGCCTTTTCTACTATATGAATAAAGAAAATATAACACTTGCATATTCCTTACTGTGGTGTGGTGCAACTTCTGATTTTCTCTAACAACCTTTATTTTCTCTTGTCAGCATCAATGGATTCAACCGCTCAAACGGGGCATAATGGTGCTGATTGGCAAGAAGAGATTTATCTAAAAGTGAGAACGATTTATCAACTTGTTTATTATTTTAACTCTTATACAAAAAAAAAAAAATCATATTGATACATATATGTACTTTGTTTTTCTTACGACATAGCATGGTTAGCTGATTTTGTCATTTCTTCGGTTACATCCTAGAATGCAACTATCGTTAGGTGAATATTGTTTGATTCGCTTCTTGAGTGCTCTTAATGCACGAGGCTCTTAGGGTCTCAATTGGAATGCAATACCAAAATGTAATATTCTTGTCATGTCAGCGTCTATTTTTTCTGTTATTAATGCATCATTTTATGAAAGAATTTATTATATACAATTTTATGTGGTATAAGGGAGTTAGACGTTATAAAAAGGCTTTAAAATCCTTTCGGTTGGGTACCTGGGATATTTTTACTTTGGTCTTTTCATTAATGTGATCATTAATGATAAACAAAATGTACTCTTGTTGAAAATTTAAGTAACCTCCCTTTGCCTTCTACCTCTCTTTTGCTTCCTTATCCTTTCCCTCTTCTTGTTTGGAAATTGAAATAATACCCATGGTTAAGAAGCAAGTGGTGGAGAAGAAGGTGCCAATGGGAAAAATCTGGTTTTAGGAAGTTCGAAGCAAAGAAGCACCTGCTGAAGCTGTCATTAAGTGGCGACAATGGAAAAAGACCAAGAAGATAACAAAGGGTTACATTATTTAATATCTGTTACTATAAATAATATTGGCTAAGTTGTGAAATTGTTAGAAATTGTATAATCTTTTCTCAAAACTTTTTTTTTTAGTTGGCGCACCTTCATTAATCTAACAATTTAAGAATTTACATTCAAATAAAAAGCTATTTACATGATTGAATTTTATAGAAAATTTAATAATTTTTGAAAAAGGTCATTTTTGATCAACAACAATTTAACTCAATGATCAACTTGTTCATCAGAAAGTGTCAACAACATTAATGTAGGTGGTTTTTTAAATCTTGGACTAAAGCGGGCGTCCCACCCCATGCAGGAGTCGCGTTTGAAGCTTGGACCGAATCGATCCAAGTATTCCGAGGAGCTAACCATTCCTCTTGAGCTACTCATAGTTATCCTAATATTATATATTTATTTTTGTGGGAATTTAGGGTTAGTTTTGTTGTGATTTTTTTTCGGGACAATCATTGGCGGCGTCTCAAGTTTTTCCTTCTAGGGCTATATCCAAGGGTCGAGTGGTGTTTCAGCTATATGTCGCTCTTGATGTGACGATTATTCTTGCTCTACCCCCTTGCATCATTCCCACAGTGCTCCACATCACCCATCATTAGGGGTGTCAATTCGGGTCAGCGGGCCAGATTTGGGTCCGACCTAAAAATGACCCAACCCGAATAGGGTCAACCTAAACCCATCCTAAATAGTAAACGGGTTGAAACCTAAAACCCGAACGCGACTTGAGCCCAAGCTTGAACTGTTAACCCGAACACGACCCGAACTTTTGTGCTTATTCGGGTCATGTTTGGGTTTTCGAGTTCAGCCGAACTAAACCCAATAATAAACGGGTCAAATTTTTTGACCCGAAACTGACTTGAAAGATATTCTGGTCAACCTTAACCTAGATTTTTCAAGTCGAGTTCGAGTCTTGTTGGCGTGTTGGGTCAATTTTTGACACCCCTACCCATCATTATTGCAGCAGCCTCTCTCGAATAACAGTTCCAATTTGTTTTTCTGCGGTTCCAGCTGCCCCCATCACCTTCCCCTCCCTCCTCTTTCGCTGCCATCGCAGTCCCAACCCTCTATCTTCACAACTGTTGTTGTTCAATCCTTCTAGTTTGCTTTCATCGGTGTGCTAGCTTCTCCTTTGTTATTTCCTGCAGCCGTCAACTTTTACAAGTATCATCTCCTGTTGTTGTTTCCTTATTACTGTTCCCGCCGTTTTTAGCTATTGCCATCCTCCCCTTTGCTGCTTCCTTCAGCCTAAAGCTTGCAGCCTTTCCGGCCTTCCAAGTCCCAATTCTATGTAGCCCCTCATCCACCGCACAGAAATACCTCCCTGCTGCAACCACATATCTCCAACACCCCATAATACCCATTCCAATCACCTACCACCACGTTCAGTCCACGTAAAACCTTTCAACCCGCATAACCGACCACTACACTTTGAGATACAACCCTAGTTGAGTTTTTATGTCATGTCAGTTATTATTTCCTATTTGATTTCAGTAATACGATTTGCTTTCCGTATTATCATTTGATTAACTCTAGTATCATTTGGTATCAGAGTTAGCCTAACCCTAGTCCTATCCTAGGGTTACCTAAATCCACCACTACCTAACCCAATTTTTCAAGTCAACCTCTAAATTTTTTTCTTTCCCATCATAAATAAAACCGATACACCCTCTTTTACCTCCCAAACCTAAACACTAGCCACTCCACCGAGCAGATAATTACTGGAAACTTTTAGGGAAACGACCCAATCTCGTTTATGAGAAATCTGCAAAGATATGTTCAAGAACCTACCATGGACGAGATGCAGTGAGAAATTCTTCAATTGCAATAGAGACTCATTACCTTTGAGAGGAAACACTAGGGAAGTGTCAGTCATGGTCACAATGGTGATTTGTTTGATCGAAAGGATGAAAAACTACTATCTCAAAAATTTTGACATGGAATATTATAAGAGAAACCGGAATATGAAAGGAAAAGTCAAACAAAATTATTACAAAGTCCAAGATAAAAAAAGAGATGCCACACAAATGCCACCAGTTAATTACAAACAAGACATGTTCTTGAGGCAAATATCACCAAACGACCATCATATCTTACAGACATAGTTCAATCCCAAGATCAAGTGACAAGAGGATACCCGGTCGAACATTCAAATTGATCCCACTTGAGGAGAAACTAATTCAAAATGGCGAACAGGTGCGGCTACAATCAACAATCTCAAATCCATCCGAACTAGAAAGTGCGCCGTGTGCCAAAGTTTTGGGCACAATGCATTAGATTCCCAAACATGAGTATTATCTATTTCACCTAGCAGGGAGCAGTTGAAATAATAGACGAGGATACAATAGGCATTGAAGAAGGTGAGGATCCAAAAGAACACCAACTTCTAACTGACGAGGGAGAGATGCACGTTATTTAAGCTGAACCCATGAGAGACTCCAACATGAGTAACATTAGTTGTCCAAGAGGGCCATGAGTTTGAGAAATCGACATCAAGTATTAGTGTGGTTGCATTTTTTTTTTATGTACTCATTTATCACATCAGCTTCTCACCGGCATTATTTTGCCGCATCTTTTATATTCTTATAGATATGTATTTGTGGCAGATACAAGCCATGAAAGATGCGCATTTTGCTGAGCTGCAGGAATTCCATATGAAGATCACCCAGCGATATCAGCAGGTTCTTATTTGCTAATCAGATTCTTTTCATTTTCAAGAATTTAATAAATATTCTGACTTGGGAGAATGTGTACTTAGCACACTTGGTGATTTTTTTTCTTTTTAACATTTTGGCCTTGAATTACAGAGTGAGATGTTGCCTCATGCAAAGCAATCAGAGAATTTTGAGAAATTGAAAAACTTCAAAATCTTTCTGGAACGCGTGTTAGCTTTCCTTCAGATCTCTAAAAGTAGTATTACAATTAACCTCAAAGAAAAACTTCCTTATTATGAGAAACAAATAAGTGGATTGTTAAATTCAAATAGAAGGCCAAGATTATTTCCTGTACAGCAGCAAGGCCAGCAGCAGCTACAGCATGCTGTTGGACATGCTCAAAGCACATCCCAGCATCAACCATCTCAAGTTTTACAAGTGCAGCAGCATGAAAATCATGGAAACCAGGTGCACCAATTGAATATGCCAGGTTCTATTACAACTATGCAATCAGCAGTGACCTCCGGTATGCAACATGGGTCCATGACATTACCAACTTTAGCTGCTCCTGCAGCACAACTGAATGCAACAAATTCAGTCCAGTCTGCCTCTGAATTGGATCTGGTCCAAGTGAATTCTTTTGGTTCGCTGCAACAAGGTTCGGTGGGCTCAGTACAACAAAGTGGTGTTGTGCCTTTGCAGAATTCAATTAGTGCTGCCCAGCAAACCAACCTTAACAATCTGTCACAAAGCTCTCTGAGTGGATTGCAACCTAATGCAACCTCAATGCAAAACTCTAATGTTCTACAGCAGCAACATTTGAAGCAACAACAGCAGGAACATTTGATGCAACATCAGCAATTAAAGCAGCAGATGCAGCAACGCCAAATCCAGCATCAATTGCTTCAGCAGCAACAAAGACAACAACTGCTACAGCCACAGCAGCCACTGCAACAACAGCAGACGCTGCAGCAACAGGTGCATCTACAACAAAAGCAGCAGCAACCTTCACAATTGCCAGTGCACCAGATTTCACAACTTCATCCTATGAATGAGCTAAATGAACTCAAGTCCAGGCAAGGATCCACCATTAAACCAGGAATATACCAACAGCCACAGGCCTTTGCAGGAGTCCAGCGCCATAACTACTATCATCAACAACTTAAACCTGGTGCTTCTTTTCCAAATTCATCTCCCCAAAATCTACAGGCTTCATCCCCTCAAATTTCTCACCATTCTTCACCTCAAATAGATCAGCATGCTTTGTTGCCAGCTGTTACAAAAACTGGTACACCTATGCACCCAACAGGTTCACCCTTTGTTGTGCAATCTCCTTCTACTCCGCCTGTTGCCCCATCTCCCATTCCAGGAGACTCCGAGAAACTAGTGTCCACTGCTGTTTTACTTCCAACTACAGGACAAACTACCCATCAACAAACTGGCATTGCACCACTTCAATCCCAGTCAATTGCTGTTGCGACACCTGGAATATCGGCGTCTCCTTTGCTAGCAGAATGCTCAGCAAGTGCTTCTGAGCGACCAGTGGAACGTTTAATTAAGGCGGTTAGTCTTCTTTCCTAGCTATTTCTATGTAATATTATGTGATTGCTGCTATAGAAATTTTTGTAATGCTGGAATAAATTTATTTCTTTGATGGCAAACATCCCTAATATTTTCTATCTTTATGTGCCATATAAAGCTTAGGGGTTTATTTTCAAAAGTAAATGTCTGTTTATGGTGTTTTTTAGGCATTTTTATTTTTTCTTTTTAAATAAATCTAGCTTTTTTTTTTTCACTCAAAATAATTTTTAAGCATTTTCATTGTTTTAAAACAACCATCACTGCTAGCTCCTGTTATTAGCCGCCACCGCTATCAGCAATCACTCCCATGGTTGACACCATCTCTAGCCATTTGTGATTGGAGGCCACCGTTGATTACTACCTCTCGTCACTGCCACATCCTTCCACTAACACAACCACTCATGACCATCTTTGACCATTGCTGGCAATTGCCACCATTGCGCCGCTAGCATTTGCTGTCACTATTATGTAAATCAACTTATTTGATATTCCATAAAAATAAAAATAACATATTTTTAAAATCTTAAACATGCTTTATTTCATGTTAAAACATAAATAAAATTAAGAAAAATACAAATAAAAAATATGCAGTGATCTGAAATGGACCCTTTACATTTGCATGGGATTGCGTTTTCATATATGTCACGGTTTGGTCCCAGAACTTGGAGTTAGTTAAGGCTGGAATGGGCAATTGGAGGGTGAAAGTAAACATTTTTAAATAACATTCCTCAATAATAACATTCAAATAGAAAAGTGCCTCTAATTCATAATATATAAATAAACATCTTCTAAGAATACACATAAGATCAACCAGTATGATACATTAATACAAGTAATATAATAATAATGATAAAGCATGTAAATCAATCAAACTACCACCTATTTTCAACAGTTCATCTCTATAAACAAACTCACTCATATCAGTCATGTCAATCTAGTAGGACTTTTCTCGAAAGAATAGTTAATTAACAATTTAAGTTTAAACAATTTAGTAAATAGTTATCACTTTATTATGCATTATTTTTATTTATACAAATGTTTAATATGATTGTTCAAAGAAATATGTTGATCAATTTATACGGTAAATTTAACCTTTTTCATTTTATAGAAATTTTATTAAAACATCTTAATTTAATATATTTACATGCTTTTAACAATTATATATTTTAATTTTTTTCTTTTAGGAAATCATCTCAGGAGCACCATCAAAATTTTTTTTATTTTGTACCATAAAGGCACAATTATTTTCATTTTGTACCTTAATGACAACTTTTTTCATTTTGTACTATTAATAAAACCTCGTTCATTTCTTTTTCTTTTAACATGCACAAATACAATAGCGTACCCAGTTAGTACTATTAGGGGGTGTCTCTTATGAATTTTATCATTCATTTTTCATTTAGTGCAGTGCAAAAGATAAAATAATAGTGTTTTTAATGTTTTTGTCTTCTTTAGATTTATACATCTAGTTCTCATTTTCACTAACTAATTAGTTTGTGGTGAAATATCAACCCAAGTATTCTTATATTATGTTACCAAGTTTGGGGAATCTTGAGCCATCAACCAATCAATGCAGTCACATAAATTTATCATTGCTCAATAATGAATTTCCTATTTCTCTTTTATTCTTTGCTAGCATTAAGTTTATGATCATTCTCAATTAGTTGAAGAATTCAACGATTTATATAATGTTAAAATCTAAAGTTGGAAGCCTTGGCAAATACACTTTGAATACTTGATTTGCTTTTAATTTTCTGCTTTATTTTGAAGTCATCCTTTTATTTTACTTTTGGACATCGAAATCTTCCTTTAACAGTGTGATGTTTATGATGTTCGCACTTTCTTTAACATTAGCAAATGTAAATGACACTTTAATTGTATGAATATTGAATTACAAAAAAAAAATAGATTATGCTTTTTTATGTAAATTTTGCCATCTATTAACATTTTTTTTTTGTGGAGTGCTTGTTTTTTGAGAACTATGATATCATTTTGGCTACTTTACCATTTGTCAGCTTGTTCTCATATGAAGCTCGAATTTTACAAAAATTCCATTATTAACTGCTTTTAGGTACAATCATTGTCTCCAAAAGTCCTTGCCTCTGCCATTAATGATATTAGTTCTGTTGTTAGCATGATTGACCGGATTGCCGGATCAGCACCGGGCAATGGCTCGAGAGCTGCTGTTGGTGAAGATTTAGTTGCAATGACGAAGTGCCGTTTGCAAGCAAGAAATTTCATGTCGCAAGATGGAGGTGCCACCACGAAGAAAATGAAGAGGCACACATCTGCCATGCCATTAAATAATGTTTCTTCGGCAGGCAGTATAAATGAAAATTTTATGAAATTTGGTAGTCTTGATTCAGCTGATTTGGAATCCACGGCAACTTCTCATTTCAAAAGAAGAAAACTAGAGGTACTTTCACTTTATTTTTTTTATACTAGCCGTGTTAATTCTACAAACGTCTTCTTTGATTTTTGCACTTTTTTTGATATCCATTATTCATTTATATAAATTTTATTGATTTCTTTTATTAGAATATTAGAATATTTATTAATATAGAATTCTATATTAATTACTTTTATTTTCTTTTATTTTCTTTCCTTCATTTCTTTATTCTTCTTTTATTTATTTCCTTACTAGTATATTCTGCAATGCGTATTTATACACCTCTTTGCATCAATAAAAAATATCTTATGGTTCTATTCTAACATGGTATCAAAGCCATGACCGTAACCTAGCCGTCGTCGGCTGGCTAGTCTAGGTCCTATCTTCTCCTCTGATCGAGCATGCCAAGTTCTCACCCGCTCTGATCGAGCCAACGGGGTCTTGCCTTCTCTAATTTGAGCCATTGTTCTTCCGTTAGATCTATCCCATCTCGACTAATTCAAGCTGTTGTTCAAGAAGGTTTCTTGTCAGAATGCGCCCAAAACTTATCTCCGCTAAGCTTTTTAGTCTTCCTCCTAGTGTCGTAACTGCAACCACTTGGAAAATCTGGTGGTTTCATATGGTGTGGTCGAAGCGATTCCTCACGACGGTGGCATTCCTTGCAGTTGGCGTGGTCTTCACATGAAAATTTTTAGGTCGAGGGCGGACTTCCTACAGTAGTCGTTTCCCTTGCAAAGCACACCCATCTTATCTGCTGCACTACCGGTTCGACACCATCCCATGGATCACCTTCATCGGTGGCATCATCATATTTAAGAATTTGGCAAGGCATCAGTTTGGAAACCATCTAGCAAGATGTTCCTAGCATACTTTAAACTTGTTTTCATGTGTTTTGCTTCTTCATTGGCGGCATTTTCGTTTCTCCATCCATGGAAATTTGCATCACCTCTAGAGCGATACCAACATGGATTTCTCCTTTGTTCTCTTGGCTTCAACCTTTCTAACCTCCTGGTATTCACTTCCATGACTGTTAAGATTATGAAGAGGCACTAGGTCAAATGGAAATTTATCATCAACAAGGTTGCGTGGTCGAAAAGTTTGGAGTTTGAGTTGGCCCAGTCGGTGGCCGGCGAGGTTCATCAAACTAGAGTGTTGGCAACTGTTACTGGTTGGGCAAAGGATGATTGCTTCCAAGCCTAAACAACGACGAAGTTGTTCAAACCTTCGACCAAATCTTCCGCTACCAACGGTCTCACTACAACTTCTAAATCTAACACAGAACAACCAACGTTTACCCAAAATAATTTGGAATCCTCCAATTCTCTTGAAAATCAAATGGAGCACTTAATCAAGCTATTTGGATTCAGTCTGCTCTCTTTCGGCCTGTCAACCTTCCACGTTCATCAGGATACCAATCTTATGACACTCATCTCTTTGGCCTCTTCTATTCCACATGACACAGACCGCATGGCTAAAAGCTGTCCAGCCTTCTCGACCAACTATCCTTGTCTAGGGAAATAAACTGTTAATATTGCTGACGGGTCCCAAAGTTTCATTGATGGTAAGGGTTCTGTTGTTTTAACATTAGGTCTATCTCTGGGATCTGCGTTACATGTGCCTCTATTGAAGTGTAACATTTTATTGTCATTAAGCTGACATATGACATTGATTGCGTTGCTCATTCTTCTACTGATGTCTGTGCTTTTCAAGATCATCATTTAGGGAGGATGATTGAAACTGTTAAGAGGGTTGACGGGTCTACTTCTTCCAAGAGAAATACACGAAAAACGAGGACACTACACTTAGTAGTTGCAGTTAATCTTGGTCTACTTAATACCCTATTACGTTTTTACACTGTCGTTTGGTTTATTCTAATTCTCAGTGTCTAAAACAATTATATACATTGATGTTTACTAATAAAAACTCATTTAATTTCAAATATGAGGCCTGCAGTTTAGCTAAACATCATCATGTTACTTATCCACCCCACAAATACACTCCTTCCGCTCATTTCTCTCTTATTCATAGTTACTTTTGGGAACTCTCTCGCACTTCTAGCTACACCAATAAACTGTGGTTCCTTATTTTGATTGATGATCACACTTTGATGACCCGAGTCTTTATTTTTAGAACACTTGGATGACCTGAGTTTTTATTTTAAAAGATAAATCTGAAGTTGCTGTCATTTTTAAAAACTTCTACACCTTCATTTTGACCCAATTCGAAACTCTTATTCAAGTCCTTCGAACTGATAAGGGTTTTAAACTTTTTAACATTATATTAGGAGATATCTTACTAAGGTCATTCTCTATCATAACTCATATACCGACACTCCTCAACAAAATGCAGTTGCTAAAAGAAAAAACTGACATCTCTTCGATGTTACTCGCTCCACTATGCTTCACTCTAATGTCCCAAAATATTTTTGGAATGATGTCATTCTTACCATCTCCTTATCTCATCAATAGATTTCTCTCAAAATTTCTCAACTTCCATACCCCTTTAACCATCTTGAGATCGTATTTTCTTAACAATTGAATATTCTCCACTTTAGATCTCAAAAGTTTTGGATGCACAACCTTTGTTTGGAACAGAGCCTCTACTTGGACTAAACTTGATCCCAAGTCCATTAAATGTATTTTCCTCAGGTATTCTGCCACTCAAAAGGGGTATCAGTGCCTTGAACCTATCACAAATAAGGTTTATGTGAGTGTCGGTGTCTCTTTTTTTGAAAGTGTTACATACTTTGCTAACTCAGCCCCCAGTGAGGGGGAGCTTGAGTTTTTGGACACTGTTCCTTACCCTACTGCTGTGAATGTCCCCCCTACGTCACCTACCATCGAAGAACCCTCTGTTTCTTTGACCCCACCCACGTCTCCTATCACCAAGGAGCCCTCTGTCCCTTTGGTCCCACTTGCACCTCCTCCCACTCTCCGTGTCTACACTCGATGCACCTGCTCTGGAGCTTGCTAACCCCTTGTTGAACCTTGAATGCCCTACGGACGACATCCACAACACTACGCTGACTCCAAATGAGGAAGTCAGTTCCTCTAGTAAGGTACGCAGTCAAACAATCTCTCTATCCCATGACAAATTGTCTCTCTTTACAAATTATCACCAACCTAAAGAGTATTTGCTAAGGCCCTGACTTCCAGCTACTATTGAGGCTGCCTTAGCAGACAGCCTTGAAAGCTGTCTTCATTGAGGAGATTAATGCTCTTCAGCGGAATCATACTTGGCACATTCTTAATCTTCTTTGGGACAAAAAAGTTGTGAGATGCCGATGAATTTTTAGCAACAAGTTTAAATTCAATGGATCCTTTGAACGCAACAAAGCATGATTGGTTGCCGAAGAGTACTCATAGACTTACATAGTTGACTATGAGGAGACATTTGCTCCAGTTGCTAAATTAAACACCATTCAGTCCCTCTTATCTCTTGCAGTGAATCTGGATTACCCTTATTTCAGTTTGATGTCAACAATGCATTCCTGAATGGTGATCTTACAGAGGAGATATACATGACCCTCCTTTCAGGCTTTAACTTAACTGCCTTCTAGGGGCAGGTTTGTAGACTGCGAAATTTTTTTTATAGATTGAAGCAATCACCACGGGCATGGTTCGGGAAATTCACAATGATGGTGGTAAGCCATTGATTCACTCAGGCTCAATCGAATCACTCTCTCTTCTTTCGACACTCCTTCAGCGGGTAGGTAGCTATTCTTATTGTCTATGTTGATATTGTTCTCATAGGTAATGTTTTACCAGCATTGGAGACTCTGAAAAGCATTATTGCTGCTTCTTTTGAAATGAAAGACTTAGGATCTTTCCGGTATTTCTTAGGCATGAAAGTTGTTCGGTCATCCAAGGATATTTGTCTATCTCAGCGAAAATATATGGTTGATCTTTTAATAGAGAACAATCTTTTCATGTGCTAATCAACGACTGTCCCTATGGATTCAAACTAAAAACTTATTGATGTTCCTAATGCTGTTCCTGTAAACAAGACTCACTATCAGAGCCACATAGGGAAACTCATTTATTTTGCCCATACACGACCCGACATATGCCACATTGTGGGGATAGTTATGCAATTCATGCAGGATCCCTATGAGCACCACCTCCATGCTGTCCATCGAATTCTCGACTATTTAAAATGAAAACTGAGCTCAGGTTTGTTTTTTTTTCCTTTACACATCTCGTTCTATTGTAGTTTACACAGGCGCGGATCGGATCATGTCCGTCCATGATTGACGATCTACCTTGGGGTACTGTTCATTTGTGTGAGAAAACTTGATTATGTGGAAAAGTAAGAAGCAGTCTGTAGTTGCTCGGAGCAGTGCGGAAGCCGAATTTCGATCCATGACTCTGAGAATTTGTGAAGCTCTCTGGTTACGCATAATGCTCTATGAACTACGTATGACTGTCTCTGCTCGCTCCCTTACAATTGTCCTGTGATAATAGGGCTGCCGTAAGCATTACTTACAACCCTGTCCAACATGATCGCACCAACCATATTGAGATTGACCGTCACTTCATTAAGGAAAAACTCGAGTCCAGGGATTTTTGTATTCTATTTGTGTCATCTAGCGGTCAGTTAGCGGATATTCTCGCAAAAAACCTTCCTTGGGTATTGTTCGATGAGTTCAAATTCTAGTTGAACATGACTGACACCTATGCTTCAGCTTGAGGAAGATTATTAGAATATTAGAATATTTTTTAACACAAAATTTTGTATTATAATTACTTTTATTTGCTTTTGTTTTTTTTCCTTTATTTCTTTATTCTGCTTTTATTTATTTCCTTGCTAGTATATCCTGAAATGGGTATTTATATCCCTCTTTGCATCAATAAGAAATATTTTGGGTTCTATTCTAACACTTTTTCTAGTTCATTTTTGCTTTTATTTAATTTACATAAACCTAGTCTTTCTGATGTTCAATAGTTTAGATATAATATATTTGTATGGTTATTTGTAAACGCACTTGTTTTTTTAAATCAACATGGCTTGGCAGTTTGGACAAGGAACGAAATTATTGGTTTCGATTATAAAGTGAACATGAAACGTGGGAAAACAACAAAACTTCAGAAAAGTATGAGCAACTTTTGAAGGAGAAGAAATGTGTGCCCCGAGAAAACTGAACGAGTTAGATTGATTTATGATGGAGATATTTTCAGATTTACCAATAAAGATCAACTCTTTAATTTATCATGGGTTGAATTGATTACTTGCCATGAATACTCTATTTATGGAAGTAAGATTTACGAGACCAATTCATCTATACCTATTTAATTCAAATTGAAATCAAATATTAGCATTAAGGATAATTAAACCTATTTTCAATTAAAGTAAAGTTAGAAAATATTAATATAATTGTAATTCTTGAAGCGGACCTTTAATTTAATTTTTTGTAATTTTACTACACCCATTCCTTTGAGTCCGAAAATGTTTTGAAGACTCACATAGCTGTCCTTTTTCTGGATGCCTAGTGGCCATGATGGTCGAAGTGGAAAAATTGGTTCCTGGACATTTGTAAAATTTTTAGGAAATGGGGATTATATATTTAAAGTTTTTAGATCCAAATTTGTCAATGGATGCAACATCTAATTTAAAACAATATCGCAGAAGATCTATTTTCGCTGGATAGTGATCGAAATTGCCGCAATAACTCAGTGTTTTACCATCGAGTATAGGCAATAGTTGTAGATGTGCAAAACGAGCATGTTAAGAAATTGGAAACAATAAATGATCATGTATCTTCATCTAGAAGATTGGGAAGCAATAATATTTATTAGAATATCTTCAAACTTTGGTGTAATAAATTCTGGTTAAATCTCCAATATTTAACTTTGTATCAGTTGTCATTTCAATAATTCGCTTCATAGATTAACTGAAAATATTATTGATTTCCTTTTTTAATTGTCGAAGGTATTAAAAGTGTCTGAACTGTTGATTTCTAGATATTGGTTTTTAATTGAATATTTCCTTACAAGTAACCGTCTCGAAAGTTCAAGCAATGTTCAGTTAAATCTTCTTTATCCATACCTAAATTATGTTTGTAAGAATTCTTCATATAAGATTTTTATGACCTAGATGAAATATATGAACATAATACTATGGGTGATTCTATAATGAATATTTCAAAAATTAAAAATCGGCAGGCCTACTTTTGAGTTTGTAATATATTCTTCAGCAATTAGTTATTCATCTTGAATAAATCCTTGGCCGTATCAATGTCATTATTTCATGCAAAGAAATCTAAAAAGATTGATTCTATGATTTAGGCGGTGTTTGGCTGCGTCCTGGATTTATTTTAATTAGGATTTATAAAATCTGATTAATCCAGAGTTATCAAATTTATATTTTACAGAGAAATACTCGCGAGTTAAATCACTTGAATCTGTATGTGAATTGGATTTAGTAAATCTGGATTCATGTCAAAAAATAGATGGAACAAGCGAATATTGGATTTAACGGAACTTATGCTTTAAATTTTACATTTTTAGTGCTTATCTGGATTTACGTTAAATCCATGGCTAAATCAAAAGGGTTACAAAAGTGTTACAAAAAGACCCAAAGAAACAAAACAAAAGCTATGCCTCTTGGGCATTTACAAAATCAATGGCTAAATTCAGGTGAATGTATGCTATCAAACACCCCCTTAAGGAAACTTCATGATTCCCTATTTAAATTATACTGGTAAATCAATCTCATGCAATATATGACCTTGATGAAATTTATCATTTTGCAGGGCACCATTGCTCTGCATGAGGAAATCAGGGAGATAAACCAGCAGCTTATCGACACGGTGGTTAATATATGTGACGAAGATACTGATTCTGTTGCTGCTGCATTCGAAGGCGGTGGAGAAGGGACAATCGTTAAATTCTCCTTCACCGCCGTCGCGTTCAGTCCCAGTTTAAAAGCTCATTTTGCTTCAATGCACATGGTTATATTCTAACAAAAACATCCATTCTTCCCTTCAAGCAATTTCACTTTTATAAATGTCATCTTTATTTTATTGCCCATGCAGTCCCCAATAGCTCCTTTGAGATTGCTGGTTCCTTCCAGTTATCCAAAATGCTCTCCCCTACTTCTTGGCAAGCTTACAATTGAACCCAGGTAAGATGCAGTAATGTTTCAACCAGGGATGTAAACGAGTTGATTTGAGCTCAATCAAGCTTGAGCTCACGCTTAATTTCACGAGTCGAGCCAGCTCACTAGTTGGCTTGTGAGAGAAAGCAATATTAATTTAAGCAAGTGTTATAATAAAATGATAAATTAAATTATCAATTAGGAGATGAATAATAAGAAACTATTTGATATAAAATGTAAAATATCATTTTTTGATATTTGTAGTAATTTAAATACAAATCTTGAATTTTAATGGATTTTATGTATATTTCATATTAATTATTTTTTATATGAGTCGGCTCATGAGCTAACAGGTCGAGTCGGGGCTAACTTGAGCTTGGTTTGTTAGCTTGAGCTCAACTCATAAGCCCGAGCCAGCTCACGAGTTGGCTTGACTTGGTTAGACCCCTAGTTTCAACTCATGCAGAAATTTCACTCAATTGTCTCAGACTTGTGCTAGTTTTTAAAACTTTTTCTTGTTGAAAATGATCAGCAAAGAGTTTGAAGATCTGTCTATGAAAGCGAAGTCGATGTTCAGCATCTCTCTTCGATGCCTTCCGCAGCCGATGTCCCTCGGAGAAATGGCTGGGACTTGGGATGCCTGTGCTCGCAAGGTGATTGTTGAGTATGCACAACAGAGTGGAGGGGGGAGCTTCAGCTCAACCTATGGTGCCTGGGAGAACTGTGTTGGTGCTTGATCCACTTCAATAAATATAAACCAACTCCCTTCATTTATTCCCCCTTGGGGCTTTGTGTGTTAATATTCGCTGCAGATTCTCAGCTCTATTCAATCAATAAACACCAATAAAAATGTTTCATGCTATTTATATAGATATAGATATGTTGTCGTCTGTGATATATTTATGTGGTATTTATTAGCGAAGGAAAGGCTGTTTTGGTTTAGGCATTGAGAACTGGTTTCAGCTGCTTTTGTTTATTTGATTGGTGAAACACTTGTTATGTAAATGTAAAAATTTATTGACATGTTGTATCACTGTGTCACATGGTTAATTTTTGTGCCGTATTTGTAGTGGTTATTACAAGTTTGTATGATTACATAGCACTTAAAATACTGTTATTTACAAAATCTAGCTCCCTTGTGATGTTTTTGAACTACCAAATCAATGTATTTATGCGTGCTGCGATCATACTATTGAGAATTTGATAAAATTGAGAAGTATGGGTTGGGTTTTGTGATGAGTGACTAATTTTGATATTTGAGGGAGGATTTGAGAAATAGAAAAGGGTGCTAGAGTTGTAAATAACAATGTTTCTGTGTGCTATGCTGTAAACAACCTAAATATGAAAAAATAGTGATGTTAATTTTGATATTTGAGGGAGGATTTGAGAAATAGAAGGAAGAGGGTGCTAGAGTTGTAAATAATAATGTCTCTGTGTGCTATGCTGTAAACAGCCTAAATATGAAAAAAATAGTGATGTCATGCTTTTGCTCCAATCACAAGTTGTTCATGCTTAGTTGGACTCAAGACCTTGAGATGAGTTTTTAATATTTTTGTTTTTTTAGCTTGTTTATGTTAATTAAAAAAACGTAAAAAATTGAATGATTATATAAACTTTCATATAAATTCAAGTTTTAATTTGTACATGATTTTAATATAAAATTTGTAAAGAAATAAAAAAATTAATTGGAGAATTTATATTTTAAATAAAATTATTGAAATGCAATTTTATAAAATTGAGTAAATAAATAATTATATAGATTTAAATGTAGCAACTAACTAGTTTATATCAAGTGAATGGAAAAATATATTAATTATATATAATTGTTTTTGTAATTAAATAGCATAGATAAATATGAGTAAATTGGTTCATTGATACAAAATAAATAAATAAAAAATAAGTTTGTGTATATTGATATTAAATTATATTATTAAAAAAGTTTTTGTTCACTAAATTTTATTTAAATATTATAAAATATAAATATAGAGTATTTAATAAGTGAATTACTAAAAAATCTTATTTGTAGCTAAACAACCCTTAAGTGTTATTTATGTAAATACATAAGAATTATGCGGTTGCATGTAAATACATCCTCTTTTTTTTATTTTTTCTGAACTCTTGAAAGAAAGGAGTATTGCTGGCTGCTAAGCGTTGAATCCCGTCTTCGTGGCCTTCGCTAACGCTGCCACCCATCCCTGAACATGCATGCACTCCTCCTCTTCATTCTTGTTCCGATGCACCCCAATTCGCCGTACAGCCTCTCCCTCTCCTCACCATGGCCGCAGCAGCCACCTCCGCCTTCACCAAGTTCAAATCCTCTCTCCACACCATCCTCCTCCGCCGCTTTTCCGACTCTCCGGCGACGCCTCTTACAATGGAAACCGTCCTCCCCTTCTCCGCCCACAAATGCAACCCGCCTCCACGCTCCGTCACCACATCTCCCAGCGAGCTCCTCTCTTTTTTCCGCACAATGACCATCATGCGGCGCATGGAGCTCGCCGCCGATTCCCTCTACAAAGCCAGACTCGTCCGTGGCTTCTGTCATCTCTACGACGGACAAGAGGCCGTCGCCGTCGGCATGGAGGCTGGCATCACTCGCCGAGACGCGATCATCACAGCCTACCGGGACCACTGCATCTATGTCGCACGCGGCGGCAGCCCCTTCGAGGTCTTTGCCGAGCTAATGGGCCGCCGCGCCGGATGTTCTAAGGGAAAGGGTGGATCTATGCACCTCTACAAGAAGGATGCCTCGTTTTACGGCGGCCATGGAATCGTCGGAGCCCATGTGCCCCTCGGCTGTGGGATAGCTCTAGGGCAGAAGTATTCCAAGGAAGGGACTGTTACATTTGTGCTTTATGGCGATGGGGCCGCCAACCAGGGACAGCTCTACGAGTCGCTCAACATGGCGGCGCTCTGGGATCTGCCTGTTGTTCTGGTCTGCGAGAACAATCCACTGTAAGTTTTTTTTTTTTTTTTTCAGTTTACTGCTTACTTCTCGGTAGGGATTTCGATTTGTGTGTTGCGATTGATTTCTGTTTAGGGTTTGGTTTCAGTTGGGATGGGGACGGCGGAGTCGAGGGCGTCGAAGAACCTGGATTATTATAAGCGTGGCGACTATGTCCCTGGTCTCAAGGTTCTTTTTTTTGTTCTTTGTTACCGTTGGTTTTAACCTTTTTTTTTTTATTTGTGATAATTTACATGCATGCCACTTCAGTCCTATGTATTTACATATCTAACTCCCAAAATTTAGTATTTCCCAAAATATTTTTTTTACATATATATATATATATATATATATATATGTCACCATACTTATGCATGAAAGTGTGTATTTCACTCTTTAAAAGTAGCAAATTTTAGGTGTTAGATATGTAAATACATAAGAATCTGGTGGTATGTTTGCATACGGTTTACACTTTTTAGTAAATTGGATTTAGAGAATTATGAAAGTCATGTTTTATGCTCAGCTTGTTTATGATTATGCACATTTTTTTATTGTACGTTACTGTCACCTCTTTTTGTTGAGAGGTTGATTATCTTTTATTTTGGCATAGCACCTAAAACATTGCTATTTACAAATCTAGCATCCTCTTTCGTCTATTTTTCAAATTCTCGCTCAAATATCAAAATTTATGATAAAACCCCAACCATATTTTTCATATTATCAAATTCTCAATTGTTTGATCACGGTACACGAAAATACATCGGTTTGGTAGTTCAAAAAGATCATATGTGTGCTATTTTGTAGGCTCATTGCTTTCCATTTTTACTTGGTTTGATCAATATATATGCATTTTAATTTTGTTTTAATAGCTTTCTTCTCTCTTTTCTTCTTCAAGAGTATAATTTATTTAATATGATGGAATCATTTAAGAATGCTCATTGAAATTGTAACTATGGATATGATAAAATCTCTTTTTAAGAGCATTTTTTTTTTAATATTTAGTGAGCATGAATGATAATACTTCTAATGTATGTATCCAATGTTGCCCTTCTATTTCTGATTTTCTTGCAACAGGTTGATGGAATGGATGTTCTGTCCGTAAAACAAGCTTGCAAATTTGCCAAAGAATATGCTCTACAGAATGGCCCTATTGTGAGTAATTTAGTCGCAGCATATTGCTTGTCATAGCTAAACAATATATCAACAGTTACAAGAATACAAGTTGAATTTACAAGTTGATACTGGCAGGTTCTAATCAGATCTCGCCAACATAAAAGGCGAAGCAGAATTTTCATCTTACTCAATTTGAAGTTGCTGACTTCTTTTTTAATTGTGTTGATTATGTCTTCTTTGCTCTTAGTTCTCTTGCTTTAGTTAATGATTTTGATTTTAGAATATTTTCTGATACTTACAGGTTTATCTCTTTCAATTGTTGTTGAATCAGGTTTTGGAAATGGATACATATAGATATCATGGGCATTCCATGTCTGATCCTGGAAGCACTTACCGCACCCGTGATGAGATCACTTCTGTGAGACAGGTTTGATGGTCCCAAGCCATGTTTTAGTGTATATGAACTTCACGCCTATTCTGAAACAGCTCATCTTCATATTTACAGGAGCGTGATCCAATTGAAAGAGTTAGAAAGTTGATATTATCACTAGAGCTAGCGTCTGCTTCTGAGCTGAAGGTATTGAGTGGAATTAATTGAATGAACTTCATGGGTTGAGAATTGGGGTGCAATCTGGTCGAGTCATGCTTGAGTCGACCGTGGCTCGAGCTTGACTTCATGTGTTAGGTAGTGGCTAGAACTTGAACACGATGAAGCTCGACTTGTTTAGGTTCATAACAAACCGTGCTCTCAACTCGTTTAGCTTTTATTAACATGATTTAGGAATATCAAATGCCTAAACTTCTTTCATAATAAGTAGGATTTTAATGTTGTATAATTGAAACATCATTAAATGGGCCATCAAGCCGAGTCTTAACCTCGCGGGAATGACACTTCTGGAACAGCAAAACAAAGAAAGAACAAAAACAGTAGAAAAAGGGTTTTTTTTATATTTTCATCTGTATCTTTTCAAAGCCTGTTATTATTTATATGTATGTTCTGATAATAATCAGTGTTTTAGTTATAACTATCGGTATTAATAAGCTGATAATTAAGGGTATTAATAAGCAGAACATAGTAAGTATATATGTATATAGTTTGTTGCCCCAAGGGACTGCATATAGTTTTTGTTTATAAGCTGATCACTTTTGCCTTGTGTCATTTAGCTTTTCCCTGAAAAACTCAATCGGAAGACCCTCTTGAGTGAGAACAAGCCCAATTCCAATGGCTAAAGCATCAATGTCAACTTGAAAGACTTCTCAAATTTGGGAGTGGCTAAATCACGAGCTGAAATCAATGCTTCTTTGAGGGTATTGAAGCTATTTTGCTGTTCCACATCCCGATAGAAGGTTTTAGATTTTAGGCAATTGGTTACCAGAGTCATAATAACACTAAAACCTTTTATTAAGCGCCATTAAAAATTAGCAAGGCTATGGAAACTTCTAACTTCAGCTCCCATGTCGAATTGCCAAGGTCTTCCCGATAGTAAATGATACATCTATTTCCAACATTCCAACACATTGCATAGTACTTCACACACAAAGTGTTTAATAATAGAGAAGGTGACATGGCACATATTTGAAACAAGTATATCCGCTCCCTTTTTAATCCATCCAATCTTATAAGGCTCCGGGTGCTTGGTAACTTCGAGTTGCAAAGCTTGATCAACATATTTGGAAATGGTGTTTTCAGTGCACCCACTGTCAATGAGCAGTTACACTCACTTTTTCGCTGATGGTACATTTGGCGTGGAAGATAGCATAGCTATGGAATGATAGATTTTGTTGTGGTGTTATAAGTGACTTCACTAGAACACATACAAGTGGTTGACTTTCATTTCCAAATACATCTTCAAATTTTGAATTTTTCATAGCTGTTTCTTCCTGCTGCTCTTTATTATTGGGTTCTCTTTCGAGTAGCAGAAATTGTTTTGCAAAATGGGCACTCATTGGATTTATGCCCAGGT